TATATATATATATATATATGTATAGTTTTCAAAATTTTTATTTTTCGAGCTCCAAGTGACTTCAAACAAATCAAACATGCATTGATCAAATAACTTAAAAATCCTTGTTTACTAGATTGTTCAACCAAATTTTGATGAATAATTTTACTATCTGAGCTTGAAAATGTATGATTAAGAATTGGCTAATGCCTTGAATATGTATGATAATGAGTTCGTAAGCATTTGCCTTGCAATTGATTTACATTGTGTGCACTATGCTCACATTTAACATTTCCTTACTTTGTTATGATTCAAAGCATTGTTTTTAAAAACTCGAGCGTTTGAAATTGTGCTACATTTCAAATGTTCGAATGTTTGCAAAATGTTAAATTGTACATTGCATGGCGGCAAGTTATTAATAAAATTGTGCTAGGTTTCATTACTTCGTATCACATCTAATCGACTTGTTTCTTAAAAGACCTCATCGTACTAGCTTCACATACACTTGTCAAAACCGGTTGAATAACTAAGCTTATAAACCGGTCGATTTGTTTGTGTAATCAAAATCGGTTTTTAGAGCTCGAATAACTAATCAACGAGCTTTGCTCAAATTCAATCAAACCGAGTTTGCGCTCGTTTGCTCTTGTTCGTTTACAGCTTTATGAAAACCAATTATACCATATATTGATGATTTTGAGTGAGTGGAATAAAACCCTACACATCTTCCCGCCCCTCTCCATCGCAAGGCACACCACACTACACACCGCCACTCCAAATGTCAGTCTCCGCCACATTTGACCGGACTCTTTTCAGTGACAAGGACGGCGGCGGCGGGGCCGGAGGCGCCACCATCGTCAAGCACCGATTCTTCAGCTTCTTGATCTGGCAGTTCCTCCAATCGACTCTCCTGCTTTTCCTCGCCAAAACCCTCTTTCTTCTCCCCTTCACCCAAAACCCTTTCACTCCCGTTATCCTCTCGTTCGCTTCCTTCGTCTCCTTCCATTTAGCTCTTCTCCTCCTATCGGTTTCCCTCTTCTTTGTCTCGTCTCCTCATCCTCTCCCCTTCGCCTCCCCCTTTGAAGTCTCGGTTTGGTTCGTTCGCCTGATTTTTGTCGCCGGAGGTGACCGGAGCTTGCTGAGGAGGAGGGTCAGGGTGTCGTTGAGCTTTGTGCTGTTTGTAAACCTGTGTGCTGTGGCGGGGGCGCTGTCGGCGATTTGTGTGTGCTGGGGCTGCGATGCTTATTATGATGGAGGTTCGAGGTTGAAGGGGGTTAACGTTTTGGGGATGTTAGGGTTTAGGGGCTTTGTGCTCGGTTTGTTTTACGGGGTGCATTATGTGTATAATAGGCGGTGGGTCTTCAGGTTTCCAGTTATTCAGGTAATATGGGGATTTATATGTTTTATCTTTTCAATTGATTTGGGCACACAGTACATTGGATGATAGTGGTGCTGTATTTGATTTGGAAGCATCCGTTGCATTATGGTTTTGCGACAATGAGTATAAAAAAAATAGCATCATTATTGAGCTTGTTGTTCTTGTTAGTGATATTTATTCTGAACTTTTACGTCTATGATTTGATTCGTTTGATGTGATGCACTGAGCCCACTTACCTCTGTGAACAGCGGCCTCCATTTTTCAGCTTCAAGATGGGGCTTCCCATAGCTATACGACGGACGTTAAAGTTATCTGCGTTTGGCTTTGTAATATCAGGTGTAGTGACTTTCTTCCTGCCTATGATGTACAGAAGTCAGGGCTCGTTGTCAAAGTTTGTTGCGGAACAAGTCGTTTTCTATATTGGGAGTTTTGTAGTAATTCTTTGTTGGGAACTTGCTCATCATTTACACCAGGTTTCTACTTCAAATAGTTAGTTTTTAAGTCTCAAGAACTTTATACTTGTTCAATACATGACTATAAATAGCTACTGAGTGCATGGAACACAATTGTGGCTTGCAGGTGCTGCATACAAAGAGATTTCTGTTTGCACCCTCTAAAGGATCAGCAGCAGCAGAAACAAATCCAAGCGAGCCCCTACTTGCTACATTAGAGGAAAGCATGCCAAAATCACTTTTACAATACCTTGCGTACCTCGATCTCTGCATGGTATGTGAAAACAATGTTGACACGTGGCGTCGAGCTGCATTCTTTGAGGAAACTGGGGAAACATATAAAAGAGTGATAGCTACCTGCCTGCGGCCTTTGGAAGAGTTGACGCAAAATCTTGCTGAAGGTCTACAGAGCTCGTCATCTGAAAAATCAATGCAGTTATCGTATCAGCTGAGTTCACCAACCGAACGGCATGCAGTTTTGAAACTCCACGAATCATTTTTTGACTCCCAGGTACGATGTTCAGGATTCAGAATCAGGTCCTTTTTTGTTTTATGGGTAATTGATTATGCATATAATACAATACACCCATTGGATATTGACTTATTTTGATCAGATTTTCATGAATGCGCAATACGGGTTTATCTGGTGGTTTAGCAGCTAAATTGGCAGATTGCTAAATTTTGAATCATCTTGTCTTGTAAGTCACGTTATCTATAAACAAGGGGAATGGAATAGAAAATAGAAGTATGAATGTTCTAATTGCAAACTAATTCAGCTGTGTATAAAGATTAGATAGAAGACTTGAGTTCAATAGTTAGATATGGTTGTTTTGAGATTCGGCTGTGTTTTGGTTGTTTCAGAAACACGTGATTTCGTACATGATGCGAGGTTTAATGAAGGTTAAGCAATGGGGTAAATATAACTAAGTTATTGAACTGGAAATAGTTGGCCATTCACTTACGTTGAATTTCCTCGTTATATATTTAACCTGATTCACTCACATTTATCTTGAATGTTGATTTACAAGAAGTTCTCAGCTTCATAATATTTAACAAATTAATGAAAAAGGGCCTCTTTTGGTTATGGATTGATCTCAAGACTGTCACCAAATTGTAAATATATAGGCGCGTTAATTATTTTCAACTTAGTTGCCATTTAAATGGAGGATTTATATAAGGAAAGAAGGATCAGTTAACCATCCTAATAAGATATTCCTGCAGTTATATCTTGTCCAACAACTCACTAATATATTTTACCAATTACATATCTAGCAGCTATGTGCATGGTGTGCCCGTATCCTTGCTTCATTGACTGCAAGGTCACATAAGGAGGACAAATTTGGCGTCGCCCAAATCTCAGGTAGCAATGCTGCTGTAATCTCGACTTTGTTGTCTGCCTTATTAGCAGTTGAGACTCTCATGGGAAAGAAGACCCACGTACAGTCTTCACATTTGATGGGCCCTGCCGGAATCAAATGGGCCACCGTCAACACTGGCCGGCGAGAGTCTACGTCTGGGGCCATGCAAAAAATAAGAGGAAGCCCTCTTTATGACGATGCATATTTTATGGCTGATGTCCTGAAAACTTCTGTTTTCTGCATAGTCTCTGTTTTTCATGATGAGATAATAAATAGTGGGAAAGCGGGACTTTTGGAGAAGGATTGGATCATTAGCAGCAAACCCATTTATGGTACAACAGAGCTTCTTGTACACAAGCTGCGACAATTCTTGGATTTCCAGGCGAATTAATGCTATTTAAGTACTTGTTGCTTTGACGCCCACTTTTTTTTAGGTGAATATGTAATATAAAGAGGTAATAGTAACCTTCTCTTCGAATGAGCAATTTGTGGTCGGGAATTTCAGATTTTGCCTTTAATCTGAAGTACTCGAGAAGAAAGAATGGAGAACGATATTGTGTCAAGTAAAAGTGGTGTTCCTGAAAGTTGTAAGGCTATTTGATTATACATTGTAACATTCTGATGGATTGAAAGATTTTCAAAGAAGGAACAAGGGAAGGTTTGCCTGTTTTAAATTTGCCTTTTCTTCAATCAAAGTTTTGTGATAAACTCCTGTTGAGAAGGCTCGGAATTTTGAGGATGTTGATGTGTCAGTCGCTTGATGTGGCCTTTAAATATGTCCGTTTGATATGGCTCGTTACTTTAAGCTTGTGTATTTATGGATATTAGTACTCTATTTTGGGTTGTAAAATGCTCTGAAGGTGAATATATGATGTAGCAGAATCTACTTTGACATGCTATTATACACTTCGCACGTACTGGTAAGCTATTTCCTCAGGACAAATTTCAAGTTTTAAATTTTCAAAGTGTTGCATAGTTGTTCTTGCATCTTTCTGCTGAGCGAAAAAAGGTTTTTTTTTTTTTTTGTTTTCTTAATAAAAAAAAAAAGATGGTTTCGTGTGTTCATCCAACAATAAAAAACTTGGTTTGGTGGACACAAATTTTCCAGTCTCGTCACTTGGCAGCTGAGATAAGAAAATAAATGCTCATTTTTATGTCAACATGTAGGTGGGAGTGGTTAGCAACATTCTCTCAAGGGTAGCAGGGGACCAAACTAAAATCACCAACCAGATTATAACCTTTTCTCCAGTTGTTTCAAATTGTACCTGACATCAAAAGGGAGAATATGATGATCAATAATTTACAAGGGTCATCTTATCTTATACTGTAGAGAAAAAGAAAACTAGATTGATCCATTCACCTTAAAACAAGTCAAGACAAGTGAAAACCCCCAAAAAAAAAAAGAAAGAAAGAAAGAAAGATGAAATCTACATGAAGCACTAAGCCAAGATCTTTATGTACAGTACAACTACAAGCCAAACTCAAGATGAACTAGATTCCTCTTTTCATCATATCCAAGAACCTTTGGTCAGATTCTTGCCTCTGCAGCTTCATGCTATCGTTGAATTTTTTGATAAAGTCCTCAACTTGCTTATTGAACTCCTCAAGGCTCGTCGAGGGATCCCGTCTGAGCCCTCCCCTGCATGTTATCGACACAGAATCATTAAAAGTCTCCGACTTTCTCAGTTCCTTCCACTTTGGAGTCGACGGCACCAATTCCTCCGTGTTGAACCTTTGCACGTTCAGTTGCACGTTCCAAGTTTCGCTCTTTTTCAGCTCTTTCCTTTTCGTCCTCTGCTTTCCTCCTTCGGTTATCGACCGCCAGGTGGCCTCCATTGTGTTGTCCTCGTCCGAGAAATTAATTTCCTCCACCGGTTTATGTTCCGTGGAGTCATTAGGTGGATATAGTTTTGTTCTTCTCATATCAAGCACTTTTTGTGTTACTTGTTTCGTGTGATTTTGTCGAATACGAGTCGAGCTTTCGTCAAGATTATTAATTTGGTAAAAAGTCGAGCCGGTGGTGAAAATAGTCGAACTTGATTCCGGCAGTGATGGTGGTGGTGATTCGGAATTTTGCGAACCGTTGGTTGTGGTGATTTGTTCTTGTAATTGGTATTCGAATTCGGGTTGGTGGAAAGTTGAGGAGGAGGAGGCTAATATTAGCAAAACACAGAGGTTTATGATGATGCAAATGTAGAGATGAGAAGAGAGCACAGATTTGATTGAGTTCCAAAATTCTATGAGATTTGAGAAAACAAACTCAGATGATGAGTAGTAAGGCATCATCACAAGACTTAACAAGACTAGTAAAAGGGACTGTATTGATTTCTCAAGTACCCTACTACTGTGGATTTCATTCAAATTGTCCAATAAAAATGCCATTTATTTAGATAGAAAAAAAAAAGGGAAAAAAAAAAATGTGAAAGAAAGGAAAATGTGAAAAAGGATGAAGAAAATATCAAAGCCTTTTCAGAGCAAAGAGGCAGAGGGAGTTATGGACTTTATTATTTCTCTCTCTCTCTCTTTTGATCTCTTTGTTGTGTTGAAATATTTGAACAATCGAAAGGGAAGATTACACTAAGTGAAGGAGGGTTTATGTAGGCACAAACAATGGCACAGAAAGTACATCTCAATCTCTGATTAATAAATCTTGACCCTCGATCATGTGCCCTATCCGTAATTTTACACTTATAATAAATAATGTTGCTGCTAGCTATACCTAATAGTTAGACATTTATATTTTTCAAATTAAAAAATGTCACTCTCTAAAAACTAAAAATAAACACAAGTATTACATATCAGATATAACTATATCAGTATGTTTTTTTTTTTTTATTTATTAAATTAAAAATATATGACGGACAACCTGCTTAAACGTTAATCCGTTTCCTAAAAGAATTTGTATTTTACAACCATGATTTTTTTTTTTTGGTTTTACATTGTTTTAACAAGGAGATAATCATAAATTTGGCTAATTACAAGAAAATACAACAAATATTACGGTTATATAACAAATACCAAAAAAAAATTATTATTTCAGTGATCTTCACTAATCTCTCACGTATAAATAAATGTACAAAGTAAGATGAGTACTGGGTACTAAATATCCCATATATATATATATTAATTCAGAACGCGCTGAGCCTACATGGCTGCTTCTGGTGCTTCAGAATCCTATGTGGCAAAATTAC